ATACCTTATATTTTCTCAATATCATATACTCTATTATATCTCATCTATGTTCATTTTCACTCACTGTGTATATCTCACTTAGTATCATATACTATATTCATCTTGTCTAGTATATCTCATCTCAGCTCAGTATTATATGTTCACTATATCTCATCTCATACTCAGTCCCCCACCCCACCCACAAATACATACACACACACACACACACACACACTCTCTCTCTCTCTCTCTCTCTCTATATATATATATATATATATATATATATATATATATGTATCATCTTGCAACATCCGAATCTTGAGGTACATTTTATTTTATTAAAGTTTGGCTTTTTGTACTTGTTACGACATGGTGAAGGATCCCCATGGCATGATGATGCATTTTTGGTCTCAGACTTCTTTTGACCCGCCATGATGTGATAGGTATAAGCCATGGGGTGACCTCCATTGGAGAATTAAAGCCTAACCTTTTGGGTTTTTCACCCAATTTATAGAAATGAGGAGGATAGGGTTTGCTCATCCCCAGCCTCCACCACCCTCCTTAGCTCTGAATACATCCTTATTCATTTTCCTACATTAATGAAGATTACTATAGTGCTTTTGGAAGATTTTGAAGGAAGAAGAAAGAAAAAGTGAGCTAAAACTCAGCAAGCAATTTCCCATTTCTCTTCCTAGCATGTTTTTGGACCTTTATAAGTGTCCAAGACTCCACCTTTATGTTTCTAAGTTGCTAGATCTTTAGTATTGTCCCATTTTATTCTTGTTTTTGTTTGTTAATATGGTGAGATCCCATAAATGGTTCAATTTTATGAATCTCTGGGTTAGTTGGAGTATTTGATGATTTACATCTAAAGTATGGTTGGTTGTTGAACCATGCATGGGATTTTGGTCATATTCCTCATTTTTGACCTTATATGAGTTCAAGACATGCATTAGACAAAAATGTTTATAAAGCACCAAATTTTAGGTTAGTTTTGGTGTTGAAACTCTTCTAGAGTTGATGGACTAATAATTTTTGAGATTATGTGCATAATGATTAAGTCCATGTCATGTTTTTCCTTTATTAGACCTAGAGTTTGAGATCTTGATCTCTTGGAGAGTCTTAAGGGATAAATTTGTAAACATTATCCATCTAGACCATAGAAAGGACAAGATTTAAGCTTTGGAGCTCTTTGAATCGAATGAAACAACTTAACCTATTAAGTTGTTTATAAACCCAGTTCCCACGACATGGACCTAGGTTGAAACATCGTAGCAATTGGGTAATCAGTTTCTATTTTGTCGTATGTGGGCTACGACATCGTTAAGGATGGCCACGACTTGACAGTTGACTAAAGTCAACTTTGACCGTTAACTTTTTGAATAGATTTGACTTTTGGTCAAACTCCTAGTTTTTGAAAATGGGCTATGGGTTTCCCTTGTATGACTATTTAGGTGGCGTATAGCATCCGTATTTTCGGCAGTGAGAGCAATAGTAGTTGATTATCATCTGAGAGGTGAGTCATCTCACTGTACTTTTGGGTCGACAACATTAATGTTGGCCTATTGGATTGTGTTATGTAGAATTCAAGTTGCCTTTGTGACTCTTGCTCGTATGTTTGGGTACCCCAGGCTAGGCCCATTATTACATGATTAGGTTGAAACACACCCGAGGGTTCGGCCCATTATTGTATATTAAGGTTGAAACGCACCCCAGGCTAGGCCTATTATTGTATGTTTGTGTTGAAATATACCCTAGGGCTTATCCCCAGGGTTGGGCCCAATTTTTTATGTTGGGTTAAAATATATTCTATGGCTAGGCCCACTAATTAGTATGGTATGTGGTGTTTTGGGGGAACTCACTAAGCTTTGTGCCCACGCTTGACAACCGAGAGGTTTCCATCCCTGATCGCCTTTAGAAAAGAGTTGGAAAATAGATGTAATAACTTAGCATTGTAATACTTGATTTTTGAGATAACAAGAATCAAATGCATTGTTACTCCTCGAGATATAAACTTTAGGTGAAAGTTTAATGAAAACGAGGTCTATATGAAAGAGATATTATTTTTATAAAATCAATTATTTTTAAGCTCGTCGGGCATGAAAATGAAAGTCAAAACTAGCAGAAAAAACCTAAAGGATAGTTGTAGTATCCATTGAGATCATCACATATATATAGAGAAGGCTTAGAATGGAGCTCACACAAAGAAGTTATGATTTTTACAAAATCTTCTCGTACGCTCCAAGTGCTTGTCTCGGCACGCCACACAATTGACACTGGATTTGAGTAGATTGCGAGAGACATGTCCGAGTGGGGGAGTTACACATGGAAACTTCTGGACGGAGCCACGATTTTCATGCATGACGCGCATAGATATTTGGCCTACGCACACCTCCAAAACTCGACTATAAATAGAGGGCTGCTTCATTTGTAGTCCTCACAAATATTTTCCCGATGCGTACCTCCAAAAATCGACTGTAAATAAAGGTTTGTGCCATTTCTCACTATCAATCTCAAAGTAGCCACCCACTTGGAGCGATCTCTCGAAGTCCCAAGCCTGATTCAACCCTACATCAAAGGTTTCGCACGACTAGTGTGAGTACCGACTCCTTTTTATTGTTTTAAATGTGTTACTCGGGGGGGGGGGTATACATGTTTATCAAATGATTTTATCAAAATATATTTATAGGGATAAATATCAAATTATTTTATAAAGCTTAAAGCCTTAGGATAATGCAGCTATAGATATTATGCCTAGTTAAAAGCAACAATAATATACCTAAGAGATATGATGCCTGATAGTCTACGAAGAGATAATACCTAGATTTTATATTGACCAAATCCCTAGGATAACGTAGTACCTAGAAGTTATGTTGGTTAAATATAAGGATATGTACTATACTTAGTTGTTACTCTGGCTAGATATCATATTTTCAAATAACCATAATTAGGGTATATAGTTATGTATCACAAAATAGAATATATACATATTATATAGAAAATTACGAGATCAAAGGTTATAATTATCAAATATAAGATAAAAAAATTATATTGTGATAGTTATAGGAAATCCTTAGGAAGGATTAATATAAAAGATAAAAGATAAAAGATAAAAGATAAAAGACAAATACCTAAGGTCAATGTGTTACCGAACTGTTAATTCATCCAAAGGCCTTGATTAAATTCGGAATTCCCCATATGCCTATACTCGTTAATCTTGTGAGAGCTATAAAGATATGTATAGTTCTATACAGGATTGACAACCTCACCTACGATTGCTAGTTACAATCCTGGCATGATAACTTTCCTATTATTCACTCTTCAATGTCCGATAAAGCATCGTGGTGAGGCATAATTAATAGTCAAACAACATCGATTATGGGGGCTCATGGTAATACATTAGATCACCTTAGAGTATGACTACCACTAGGGATGCTTTAGAATGGTAAATAAAATACGTTAGGATCGTTAGCTATACTACAAAGATAGTAAATTAGGATTATTAAATATATCCTAATAAGATACTAAAATAGGATCGTTAGATATCCTAGAAGATAATAAGATAGAATCATTAGATATCCTAACATATAGTAAGTTGGGGTTGATAAAATACTTTAAGAAAGGTTTTTCAGAAAGAAAAGGATTCTTAAAATAATACAACCTAATAAAACCCGAAAACTATAAAAACCCGTGCACTCACCAACATTATGTTGAGGTTTTCAAAAATACATGTATTCTCAAGGAGATGAGTGTAGAGCATAGTCGTGTGGAGGAGAAGGATAGTAATGACAAGGATGAAGAGGATAGTCATGTCAAGATTGGTATTAGAGCTACAGGTTATAGTGAACTAGTAATTTTATAGGAATCGTGGCTATAATGTAGGGCATAAAACTCTGAATAATTAAACCTAATCAAAGTATTATTATAATTACTATACAGATAGACTAGTTACGGTAGATGTGCCTATGCTAGCAATAATTGTCGTCCGGGTTGTTGGATTTTAGAACGGTTATATGCCAAAATGGTCCTGTCCTTCGACTTTTCCTACTTGGTGAATCCTTGTAGTCCTGGGGTAGATAAACATATAACTAATAAAATACCCTAATCAAACACTAATCAGATAAAAGAGTTATATCAAATCTTATAAATACATTACTACATCATAAAAACTATCCATTAAAATCACAACTTAATATTTTAGGTAAAAAAACGAGTCCTAGGGGTAGTCTAGTACTGCGGCTATACCACAACTGGACATAGAATGCACAACTAAGTTTTATCACGGTCCGACCAACACATGCCGAAATTTGGATGTCGTTGTTGAAAATCTAAATGCTTGAGGATTTATAGATCAGTAGTTTACTATGCCTAGTTTGGAGATTATGACGAGACCTATGACTATAGGATCTTTAGCCTAGATCAGGTTCCTACAGATTAGAGCCTTAGATGAAGACCTAGAACAAGATGATGGTACACTGTGAGGATATCCGGAATAGAGACATGCATACAACATACCACCCATATACAATGTTACCTAATATATGGTATTGTCTACTCTCTCTCTCTCTCTATATATATATATATATATATATATATATATATACACACACACACACACACACTATAATAGGAAATTATATGTACTATATATTATTTCTCATACACATTTAAACATTTGAGGATTTATGGATCAGTAGTTTAGTATGCCTAGTTAGGAGATTCAGATGAGACCTACGACTAGAGGATCTTTAGCATAGATCGACTTCCTGAAGATTAAAGCCTTAGATCAGGACCTAGGGCAAGAGGATGGTACACCATAAGGATATCCTAAATAGAAACATGGATACGATATGCCACCCATATAGAAATTTACCTAAGATATTGTACTATCTACTCTCTCTCTCTCTCTCTCTCCCTCTCTCTCCCTCTCTCTGTATATATATATATATATACACACACACACACTATAATAGGAAATTATATGTATTATATATTATTTCTCATAAATATCTACCCATTTGATGTCTTATACAAGAATCACAGACGATATGGAGGACATATGGGACTGGGTGTCGCATCCGTATCTGGAGGAAGAGCAGGTGGTGTCACGCACCCCCAAGAATGAGAGAGATTATGATCTGCCAATACCCCTACCACCTACTCCAATATCAACTGATGAGGAGGCATTCAAATATGAGGAAGAACCTAGTGAGGAGGTGGAACCTAGCGATGAGATTGGGGAGTACCTACATATCGTTCAACCTATCCAGATTCGTCTTCCCACTAGGATTGTGAGGAGACTCAGGAAGAGGAAGCCATAAAATTAGAGTCATCCCCAAACACTGTTCCCCACCTTCCTCATCCATTCTCAGTATTTATACACCAGGACACATAATTATCACTACCCCCAGAAAATCCATTCCTATCTCGTCCCGCAAGAGGGCAACCTCACCACCATCATCCCCGAATCCATGAAAGAAACCTTGACCCGCCCACTGATGGACTCCCCAAGTGGACGAGTGGTGCCAAGAGGATAGTACTGTTTTTATGAGGTTGGAGATTCGTCCCATGAATCGAGACGCGATTCCATCCTAGAGGATCCCACCGATTAAGAAATTCTATTTTTATTCTTATGGGTTGCACAATACGAGGATCACATACATTGGGTGAAGGAGGATCACGACTCGTTGAGGAGGAAGGTCAGGGTGCTAGCTGATAGAGTTAGGGGATTAGAGAAGGAGAGAGAGAGAGAGAGAGAAAGAGAGAGAGAGATTATGATGAGATGAGGATCCTTCATGCTTATGATCATATGGAGGAGACTCATTCTCTCGTACAGTATCAGTAGATCGTGATTGAGAATCTTGAGTAGCGGGTGAGAGAGATGAAGTTCATATTATTGTTATCTGAGATAGGAGTGGACACCATGGAGGTGATGATCACTTGCCTCCTGCATCAGTTAGCTCAGATAGTGGCCTAGATATTATTTTGTTTTAGGTTATGGTAGATAGTTCTAGCCAAGGGAAGCTAGTGACTATGATTTTTTTTTTGGGTTTGGGGGAGAGAATAGCAATGTAGCCGATAATAGGCAACCGCTACATCTTGTGTGTAAAATAGATACTATTCCTACTTAAACAACACTGTTGTATACTATTTTGTTCTTAAAAATCCGATGTAAACAGTTTGTGAAAAATTAAAGAAAACTATGTGATCTTACTGTTTATTATGTTGCTTGTTTGCTTTCTTTACTTGATATAGTTAAATCATCTAAATAAAATGTCAAAGTAAAAATCCAAATAACAACAAACATATGCCTTAAATTTGTAATAATGCTTTGTACTAGAAGGAACCCAGGTCAACCTGAAACTAATCCTGAGCTTATGAGCTTAGCCGTGATCGAGGCACTAGTGGCCCAATGTGTAGCTGATTCCATAGCAAGTTTAGAAACCCCTAGGAATTTAGGATCAGGAGGTAACAGAGGCGAGAGCTCATATGGAGATAATCAAGGTCCAACTAGAGTCTGTTCATATAATGATTTTATGAACTTTAAGATGAAAACCTTCTATGGAAATGAAGGCATAGTTAGGCTGACTAGGTGGATGGAAAAGATGGAGTCTATTTTCGAGATAAGCTTCTACCCAAAGGACTATAAAGTCAAGTTCGATACTTACACCCTAGAAAATGCAGCTTTAAGCTGGTGGAATAGTTATACCAAGACCATATGCGTTAACCTATCAAATTCCATGTCTTTGTATGAGTTGAAGAAACTCATGATTGGAGAGTATTTTCCATGCGAAGAGATACAAAAGTTGGAGCAGGAGCTGTAGAATCTTACGATGCAAGAAGCTGATGTTGCCACTTACACAAGCCGTTTCAACGACCTTTCCACCTTATGTCTCAGGATGGTTACCCAGGAAGAGACGAATATAGAGAGGTATATTTGGGTGCCTCAGCCTATCCAAGCCTTAGTCATTGCCTCAAATCCAACTACCTTCGACATAACCAATAGACTAGCCTTTAGCCCGACCCATCAATAGGTTCGTACTGGAACGATGGTTCAGAAGTCCAATGTTTTGAAGATGGAGGGTAGAAAGAGGAACTTTGGCAAGGATTTCAAAAGGAAGGCTAGGCAACCAATAGAAGAAACGGGAAGTTATTCAAGCGTTTGTGGTTTCAACACCCTCGATAGGGACTAGATTTAGAAGTAGCCATAGTTGCAATGAGTGTGGGTTTCATCACAATGGAACACGTTGGGTCTGTACCAACTGCGGGAAGAATTGTCAACTTTAGGAACCACAACCGTAGATTGCCGAGCATGCTATGAGTGTAAGGATATTGTACATATCAAAAGGGATTGTCCAAAGTTGAGAGGTCGGCGAGATAATGCCAGAGGTAGAGCATTTATCATAAGAGTAAGAGAGTCCGTCCAAGATCCGATAGTGGTTACAAGTACGTTCTTAATCAATAAATTATATGCAAATATACTTTTTGATACTGGCGCCGATAGAAGCTATATTACTCTTGAATTTAGGAAATTGTTAGATCAAACCTATAGTAAACTTAGGGAAGCCTATGATGGGTTTTACACAAAATAACATCCTATGTGTTCATGCGAACCCTAAAGCTTGGATCTAGGTTTCTCTATTGTACATGCAATTCATCCAAGACTTACAAACCCTAGATCTAGCATACATGATTTCGAAGTCGACATAAGAAAACAGATCTAGATGATTACCTCTTGAATAAGGGCTTGAATCTTCCTGTCTTGGAGCTTTGAGGAAAAAATGTCACTCCTCTAATGGCTTACGAACACCACACAAGCAAGAGGATGATATGAGAGAGGTGGGAAAGGCACAATTTCAGCTATGATCTCTCTAGGGTATCAAGTGGCCAAAAATTAGAAGCCTTAGGGTCTTATTTATACTAGTGCTGCTAGGGTTTCAATCTAAACCCTAATGGACAGCTTAGGCCTTAACTAATCCAAGAAAGCTTCTGGAATAAGGCCCTTATGGCCGAAATTATGGATGGACACATCTTGATTTTGTCCATGCCTAGTCCAAGCGGCTCCTCAGCCCAATACTCAACTATCACATATTTGACAGTTGAAGTCCCTAATATTAAATTAATGTCTTTTAGCCACATAATTAATTTCTTAATTAGTTCTTGTCTAATATTAATTTCATTTTATGATTTCTCTTTTAATATATTATTCATATAATATATTAATAAACCATATTAACCTCTCTATTCATAAATCACACTGTCAAGTTGTTTTGGTGAAGAAACCCAAAAGGACCATGCACACCGGGTCAAGTACTTACCAAATATAGTTACGGGCTTAGACACTAATCCAACAGTCTCCCACTTGGATAAGTCTAGTAACTATAAATGCAAATAAAATCCGATTAGCAATTGTAGCTCTCATAGACACTGTCGAACTCTAATCTCATAAATTCCCTGTCCTTCAGATAAGGGATCGTATAATCCTCTGTTCTAGATATCATGCGGACAATTACATGGAACATAGTCATACTTGTTGTCTAGCAGTTTGTTTCTTGATCTCTGGTTCGTTTGACATAGAACTTAATTGAACACATCAATTTAGTCCTGACCGGGCCCGACACATAAGTCAAACCAAATCATCGAGGGGCCTTATATCGCTTTTACCCTCTTAGGATAAAAGTAATAGATAAACTTTGACTTATATGCATTTACTATTCATTAATCAAATCATACACAATAATGCATTTTATAACATCAATTTACTGAAGCGTTTATGCATTATCAATGCACAACCAATTAGCAAACAATAAACCATATATCTAGGTTTTAAGACCATATGATATTATCATCTTGCGATCACTCATGATAAATTCCATCAAGTGATTCCATCAAGCGTGGGTTTTTTCCAATGCTCAAATCTTATTCATAAGAACTTATGAATGTTATAGAAAACTTTTTCTATGTCTAATACAGTTTAGACAGTCTACACACCAATTCATGACAGTCTTCATTCATACCTACTTACAACATATGAACGACAGTGGACCATTCGAATAAATTTATTATTCTGGAAGTCAAAACATGCAAAATGAAACAATAGTTAAACAATTAACATAAGATAGTAACTTTACTAATAAATAATACTCATTTATTTAATCATCAAATGTTAATTACAATTTATCTATTACACATTTCTAAACTATCTAATCTAAACTAATATTGTCCTTCAGCCCAATGCTCCTAGCGTGCTGCAAGTGCTTAACCCTACTTAGTCCCTTCGTAAGCGGATCTGTTGGGTTATCCTCCAACGATACCCTCTTCAATATGAGGAGTCCTTATTCTACCCGATGTCGAATAAAGTGATATTTTCTATCGATATGTCGAGATCTACCATGATCCCTTGGTTCCTTGGTCAAGGCAATTGCTCCTTCATTATCACAGAAAATTTCCATAGGCTCCTGTATGGATGGCACAACTCCAAGGTCTCCAATAAAGCCCTTTAACCATATTGTCTCCTTTGATGTTTTGCTCGCTGCAATGTACTCTGATTCGCACATTGAATCATCTACAATCTCTTGCTTGGAACTCTTCCAAGTCACTGCTCCTCCATTTAGTGTAAAGACCTAGCCCGAATGCGGACGGTAGTTATCCCCGTTGGTCTGAAAACTGGCACCAATGTACCCTCGCACCTTTAAGTAATCACTCCTACTGAGGACTAGAAACCATTCCTTGGTCCTCCGATGGTACTTAAGAATATTCTTGACTGCGGTCCAATGTGCTTTGCCAGGGTTCCCTTGATATCTGCTGCCCATGCTCAAAGCAAAGGCCACATCAGGGCGAGTACAAGTCATATCATGCATGATCAAGCCAACTGCATATGTGTAAGGTACTCGGCTCATCTCTGCTATCTCAACTTCGGGACTCAAAGTTTGAGTCTTACTCAACTTGGCATTACTTTGGATTGGTAACTCCCTTTTCTTGGAATTCTCCATACTAAAATGTTCTAGTACCTTGCCCAAGTAAGTATTCTAACTAAGTCCTATTAGTCTTTTACTCCTATTTCTCACTATCTTTATTTTCAAAATATCGGCAACCTCTCCAAGGTCCTTCATAGCGAAGCACTTCCCAAGCCAGGACTTCACTTCCTGCAGCGTTGGGATGTCGTTTCCTATGAGTAGTATGTCATCGACATACAATAGGAGGAAGCTAACTATACTCCCACTAGCTTTGACATATACATATGATTCATCCTCGCTTCGCATAAAACTAAACTCTTTGACTTTCTCATCGAAACAAAAAGATTCCATCTGCGATATGCTTG